ATACTGAGCCAAATACTGCTGCACACAGGGCACACTGAGTCACATGTTGCTGCAGACAGGGCACACTGAGTCACATGTTGCTGCAGACAGGGCACACTGAGTCACATGTTGCTGCAGACAGGGCACACTGAGTCACATGTTGCTGCAGACAGGGCATATTGAGTCACATGTTGCTGCAGACAGGGCACACTGAGTCACATGTTGCTGCAGACAGGGCATACTGAGTCACATGTTGCTGCAGACAGGGCATATTGAGTCACATGTTGCTGCACACAGGGCACACTGAGTCACATGTTGCTGCAGACAGGGCACACTGAGTCACATGTTGCTGTAGACAGGGCACACTGAGTCACATGTTGCTGCACACAGGGCACACTGAGTCACATGTTGCTGCAGACAGGGCACACTGAGTCACATGTTGCTGCAGACAGGGCACACTGAGTCACATGTTGCTGCAGACAGGGCACACTGAGTCACATGTTGCTGCAGACAGGGCATATTGAGTCACATGTTGCTGCAGACAGGGCACACTGAGTCACATGTTGCTGCAGACAGGGCACACTGAGTCACATGATACGGCAGACAGAACCCATGCCTTCAAAAGAGATTGCAAAATGCATTCTGATCAGAACTACTCATAGCACCACAGTCATCAGTCCTTCCCTTTGTCCTACACACCCAAATACACTTGCTTCACCATCAAGGTGTGTTGGTCCCCACATATACAAATCTGTACAACCAGTACAAGCAACAACAACTGAGCCTAGAAACCTTGTGCTGCCTCAGTCCTCAGACAAACTCCATTGCTCAGCTGTCACTGAATACAATAATAGAAAAACAAACTCAGATTCACATTTGCAAGAAACCAGTACTGATGCAGATGATGCAACTCACCCTACAAATGTACTGGTCACTGTCTAGGTTGTCAATGACCACTTGTACACAACTAACTATTACAAGAAAACTAGGACTTTTTGGCAGACCAAACCAGATGATGTGATAAACCCATTTTCTAGTCTACATCAATTACAGCCATTGTCCCACAGCAACATCAATGTGGAAGGAGGCAATTAAACTTCCTCCGGAACAGGCTGCTCCATAGTTACTAAAGTAGTGTTAATTGTCTGCATTTAACATATTACATCTTGATAGCTTCAATAGAGTGCATATCAGTACTATTATCTAACATTCACATCCACCTGTATGTCCAAACGTGAGTAGCTGAATAGATGGTCCCTATTTACAAGTACTTGAAGTTAAAGCATTTGTTTTTTTAAATGATGTTCTGGAATTAATGTCATTGATAACTGGGTCAGGCCTAAAATATCATGAATATGCATATGTAAATGTCATTCCTGGGAGTGAAGAGGCATCTGCTTGAGAATATTTTGCCCCTCAACCATTTTGGTAAAAGCATGATGATTCTTTATAACTATACTGTTCCACATATTTTGGAATACTTTTATCTTTCCAAGATACAAACAAAAATGATTTTCACATGTCAAATGTATATAAAATTAAGATGAGATATCTGATTATCCCTAACCTAAGTTGAACCATATACTTTGACTGATTCCCTTAAAATAGCCATTCGAAATTTTGTTGCAAGGAAACAGCTTCCAAATATATTTCTTCTTCAGGCTTGTGAGCAGCTTAGTTTGGAGTTCTGTGACAATTCTGCACCTCAAAGGCATATGCATAACACATTTAATGCTTAGGAAAATGTCAAAGTATCGATGTAAGGAAATAAGATCTTTCTATCGATTGCACATACTTTTCAACAATGTATTAAGTTGGTGTATTTCCAATTAGGAAAACATATTTGTTGGAATATCATCCACCTGATTCATATGCCGGAGCCAGGTGCCAAGTGCAGACAAGGTTAGGCTTGGGAGATGCCATGTAGGGTCACCCACATACTCCTACATGTGTGGAGTTCCAGTATACTTGACATTGCATCTCAATGTCCTTTGTCCTAATATTGTTTTGTCACCATGGTCACAGTGATGCTTCCAGTATGCTCATCCAACCTTTGCTTATGATGCTACTGTCATCCTTGTTCTTTACTTGTTAGTGCTCCAGTATCTGGGTCTAACCTTTCCATGCCCTGAAGTGTATTCCAACACGGCAGTAAAGACTGCCGATAGTTGTTTATTAATCTGAAGTCCCTTTATCCTGTAAATCCCAGGCTGAGATTGTTGGGGATGTGGTTGCATCTTCAGTGGGCCTGGACACTAGGGAAGTAGGGAGAAGATCTGAGCCCTCTCCTCCAACTAAGCTTAACGCCTTAATCCTCTTATGTGACAATCAATACATATGCTATGACATGGACCCAAACCCATCAGCAATCTCACTTACATGGGGAGACATATAGCACCATTACTTCATGCCTTACAATATCACATTCACATGACTTGTCCACAGTTGCCCAGTAAACATATTCATCATATAGCACCATTACTTCATGCCTTACAATATCACATTCATATGACTTGTCCACAGTTGCCCAGTAAACATATTCATCATATAGCACCATTACTTCATGCCTTACAATATCACATTCACATGACTTGTCCACAGTTGTCCAGTAAACATATTCATCATATAGCACCATTACTTCATGCCTTACAATATCACATTCACATGACTTGTCCACAGTTGCCCAGTAAACATATTCATCATATAGCACCATTACTTCATGCCTTACAATATCACATTCACATGACTTGTCCACAGATGCCCAGTAAACATATTCATCATATAGCACATGCCTTACATTACTTCACAGTTGCCCAGTAAACATATTCAATATCACATTTCATGCATATCACATTCATATGACTTGTCCACAGTTGCCCAGTAAACATATTCATCATATAGCACCATTACTTCATGCCTTACAATATCACATTCACATGACTTGTCCACAGTTGCCCAGTAAACATATTCATCATATAGCACCATTACTTCATGCCTTACAATATCACATTCACATGACTTGTCCACAGTTGCCCAGTAAACATATTCATCATATAGCACCATTACTTCATGCCTTACAATATCACATCCACAGTTGTCCAGTAAACATATTCATGACTTGTCCACAGTTGTCCAGTAAAAACATATTCATCATATAGCACCATTACTTCATGCCTTACAATATCACATTCACATGACTTGTCCACAGTTGCCCAGTAAACATATTCATCATATAGCACCATTACTTCATGCCTTACAATATCACATTCATATGACTTGTCCACAGTTGTCCAGTAAACATATTCATCATATAGCACCATTACTTCATGCCTTACAATATCACATTCACATGACTTGTCCACAGTTGCCCAGTAAACATATTCATCATATAGCACCATTACTTCATGCCTTACAATATCACATTCACCATGACTTGTCCATTACTTCAGCCTTGCCCAGTAAACATATTCATCATATAGCACCATTACTTCATGCCTTACAATATCACATTCATATGACTTGTCCACAGTTGCCCAGTAAACATATTCATCATATAGCACCATTACTTCATGCCTTACAATATCACATTCATATGACTTGTCCACAGTTGCCCAGTAAACATATTCATCATATAGCACCATTACTTCATGCCTTACAATATCACATTCACATGACTTGTCCACAGTTGTCCTAGCGTTTGTACATCAACCAAACTGGAATCAAAACATCCTACCTAATCCTGGTACATCTATACCAGTCTGACAAAAGTAAGTCTTCTTGTTTGCAAAAAAACAGTGACACTGACACCTAGGTGTATCAGTCATGTAAAGAGAGACTACACAATGTTGTAGTTGTCTGATGAAAGTCCATGCAATTTATGGAAAAGGTGTGTCTTGTGTACAGAATGCCTCAGATTTCAAAAACTTCCACTGACTTGTATTGGCATATGTGACATCAAAGATGTTTGGGTAGGACTCCAGATCTTTAAATATAATTCAGCAGAATCACATTTTTATTACTCCCCCAGCAATGTCCACAATGTTTGCTAAACCAAAAAGTACATATCATTCGAGTGTCATATCTGGGTAAATTTGGGAAGGATTTACAAAGGTGTTCTTCCTTGTATGTCAGGCACCATGAATTTGATGTATATCTTCAGTTCCTTTACAGAGCAGTATACAACTGTCCTTTGTAACCTACAGAGTGAAGAGTGTGAATCTCATGGGCTCCATCGCATGACAAACAATTTGCTCACCTTCCAATCAAATGAAAAGGTTGAGATGGTCATTAGCATGATTAGAAAGTCAAGTCCCTATACTTCATCACACCAGTCATCGGACCAGTGTGATCAGCTCATCAAGCATGCAGCAGCAGGATTCCTCACAAGTTCCATCAATTGGGATCATTTAAACAAATGGAGTTCAGTGTCATACTATGGCCAAGCTCATCAAGATGCTGGAAACAACAGATGAATCATGGAACATAGTTGTAGTGTTATCATGCTCTAGTTGGCTGGATGAATGCAACATACATTGAAAATTCACACATATAATTTGGGTGATCACAGAACTAGGCTTCTTGGGAAGGAAGTCTAAATGAGGAATGGATGTATGCCTGGAACTGTTGAAATTTAGAATCTGTATTCTCAATTTAATGACACCATTTTAAATAAGATTCAAAGTTAAGGGCGTTTCAAGCCTGTCAGAACCTTGGAGTAATTGACAAATTTCTTTTATTGATACTAAAGTGTTCTATGTGCATGCTTATTGTCAGCATATTACTGACTTGGTCGGTAGTTCAACTTGTACTTCTAGTACAACCTCAAGTTTAACACAAATGGACATGAACTGCAATGTATAAGCTGCATATAAATGTCCAGACAATTACACTTTAAATTTTAGATTTCTAACATTTCTGACCAGTTGACCTCGTGATGTTCAACCTTTTGTGTATGTGTATGTCTATCTTAATAATCTGGGCGAAACCTGTGTTACCGGTAATTTGTGATCCAAATGTTGCAGATGATGTCGGAAGCCAGAGCCCTATAATGGCATTATAACCTAAAATGGTTGTACAGCAGCCAGTGTTGCCAAGATGCTTCAACAGATAAATCCATCAGCAGAGAAACAGTAAAACACAATTCCCATTGCGAGGTATGGCTGGACTATTTGCTCTATATCTCAACTTATACCCTATATGCAGGCCCAATGCCGTGACCTTGTGAGGTATGGCTGGACTATTTGCTCTATATCTCAACTTATACCCTATAGGCAGGCCCAATGCCGTGACCTTGTGTGGTATGGCTGGACTATTCGCTCTATATCTCACCTTATACACTATATGCAGGCCCAATGCCGTGACCTTGTGAGGTATGGCTGGACTATTCGCTCTATATCTCACCTTATACACTATATGCAGGCCCAATGCCGTGACCTTGTGAGGTATGGCTGGACTATTCGCTCTATATCTCACCTTATACCCTATAGGCAGGCCCAATGCCGTGACCTTGTGAGGTATGGCTGGACTATTCGCTCTATATCTCAACTTATACCCTGTATGCAGGCCCAATGCCGTGATCTTGTGAGGTATGGCTGGACTATTCGCTCTATATCTCACCTTATACCCTATATGCAGGCCCAATGCCGTGACCTTGTGAGGTATGGCTGGACTATTCGCTCTATATCTCACCATATACCTTATATGCAGGCCCAATGCCGTGATCTTGTGAGGTATGGCTGGACTATTTGCTCTATATCTCAACTTATACCCTATATGCAGGCCCAATGCCGTGACCTTGTGAGGTATGGCTGGACTATTTGCTCTATATCTCACCTTATACCCTATATGCAGGCCCAATGCCGTGACCTTGTGAGGTATGGCTGGACTATTTGCTCTATATCTCACCTTATACCCTATATGCAGGCCCAATGCCGTGACCTTGTGAGGTATGGCTGGACTATTTGCTCTATATCTCACCTTATACCTGATATGCAGGCCCAATGCCGTGACCTTGTCAAGGATGCAGCTGGTGGTCACAATGGATGCCATTAAATAACACAGTATTGGAATAAATAATGTAAATCTCTGCTCCAAGGACACCTGGCTGGGCCGAATGTCCATGCTGCCATGATCAACTAGTAATTGTCTTATAACAATATAACAGAACCAAATTACTAAAAGCTTTAACCAAAGTGGAAATGAAGGTCCTGTCTGTGCCAAACATTCTGATCTACTTGCAGGAACCTGTCACATGATATTGTATCTAGTATATTTTGGTGTTAATATACAGACATTTATTAGCAAAGCTCACTTGATCGAAAGAGACGTGACTATGAAATTCTGTTTACAGCAGCATAACCCAGTGGCTGTACTCTGTGAATCATAAATATATTCCTGGCCAATCATAATGGCTTTTACAGTGGATTTACATCCCAATGTCACCAGAAGGAGGTGAAGATTTGTGACACCAGTAATTCCCTGGGAGACTGCCCAGACTATAAATATATGTACATTGACCTAACTACCAACTCAAAGATTAAAGAGTCTCAGTCTCAAATCCTGATAAAAGTAAGCAAATACTCATTAACAATATAGGAACGTGTGGTGTGTGTGATTGGAATATGTGACTCAAGCAACCTGCATGATACACAACATTAATTTTCATTTATAAATGTATCCTTAATATATCTGCACAGAAGGTAGTCAGTCAACAGCTCTTGGGGTCATCTGGTGGTGGAGGGTGGAGTACACTCTCATGTAGCTGTCCACAGACAACCTAGCTAGCAGTGGTCCAAGTCTATGATATAGTGCACCTGTGGTCGTTGTAGCTGTAGGAGTGTTTTAGACGCTGCTTCACTATTACCACAAGTTATATCATCTGTTATGAAGTAACACAGTGATGGATTTCCTATCTGAAATACATGTAACAGTGTTTAAATTTCAGACACTATGGTACTGAGTATCAGGTCTAATATATTGCTAATCCTGTCAAAATATTACCTATCCAGATTTGTTTAAATATATTTTAATTTAGTATCCTTTATTTTATCAACTAAATCTACAATAAATAAACCTGCCAGCACATCTGGGTGAGTGAGTGATTGGCTTATTAATATTCCAGCCATTAACAGCTTCATGGGATGCAAACCCTTGAGTAAGTCAACATGGTCAAGCCACTTTATCAGCTATCCCACAGTGTCTCCATGATGTCGTGAACCTATACTGAGGGCCTTTGGACATGTTGTTATGTGTGGAGTTGACAATGAGCAGTTCATGGACAGTACAATCTCGACAACACTGTCCTTGTACAGCTGAGAGCAGCTGAACGCCACCTCATTTCCAGTCTCAGTGTCACATGTCACATGCTTGACCATATTTCAGAAGCAGCAGGAATGGACAGGAATCAGTGGCTCTTGTATGTTATCTTGTTCATCAAGAACACCGGTAGTGGTCGGCAAGGTAAATGAAGCTGTTTACCTGATATCACAGTCCAGGATGTAATCAACAGCCAGAGCTCCAGATAAGATTTAGCTCATGTGGGTACTGTACCCACTGTATTTTTTGGAGTGGGTATTATAAATGTTGAGTGGGTATTTCATTTTCCATCACCCACTGCTTTCAAATATGTGCGTATTTCAGTCATTTTACTCACCTAGGCATTATGTGACTGAGTAAGTTTACTAAGCAGGTATGTTCTGCCTTATGTCATACCTAATCAAATGCAACTTAAATATAATGGAAATGATTTCATAAAAAATCACTCATCCTATACTGACAGTACAACACTTGTCCTATACTAACAGTACAACTTGATAGCAATCGATGTCTTTTTCATTTTTATAAATATATTCTGTACGCATTTGTTTTAAACTCTCTGTGTATCTAACATTTTAAATGCGTAATTGGTACACAACAATTATTTTTCAATGTGTAATTCTATGCGTATTTTACCCAGATACGCAGCTTATCTGGGCCTCTGAACAGCATTCATAGACTAGTTGCTTGTTAAATTTTAGTTACAAATTTAGTGTTTAGTCAATACATGACAAAACAATAAAGTTTCACCAGGATGAAAGTCACAGCATAACTGTTTTATACAAGTTAGTAACAAAACATGTGCTTCCAAACGTCAAATATTATTGAGTTCATGATACGCACGACACACAGTATTGTAATTAACACTACTGCGGTGAGATTTAGGGAAATTATGAAGGAGCCCACTATGAATTAAATGTTTTATTTCCAACTTTACTAAAATTATGTTCTGGAGAAGGAAGGTAGGAATGCTATTTGGAACTAGCTAAGTACAATCCATAGTTTTTCATGAATAACATTTTTTGTAAATATTACACACAAAAATTGCAAAAATACATACGTTTAGAAAGTGTCTATTTTTTATGCACTTATTTTTGAAAATTCATTACCCCATCGCCACAAGTGATCTGCTCCATAGTCTCTACCACTCCAAACAATTGAAGAAATTAGTGTTTTGAATGTGTTTTTAATAATACAGTTCAGCCAATCTCCACCAGTATGAGCTAATTGTGACTGCTGGCATCCTGTGTATAATGGGGTATGCACAGAGGACACTGCCCTAGAGAAACAATGGTGGACTTGTTGGCTACCTGATTACAAGGACCCTCAGATGGCTATTGTCCTGCTGTCTGCTTCCCCTGTACTGGATCAGACACCACTAAAACACAGCCACTGGCACATCACTTTCATAAATGACAGATTCGGGAGAAAAAAGTACATATCGATCTTTGAGATATGTCAGACTATTAGCTTTGTCAGTAACACAATTAACCATAATCCATCTTTATCATCTTCAATCCCTAATGTAAGGGGACTGTCACAGAAACACATTCAATCAAATTAGTGATGAAGATGTTCGAGCTCCTGTTGCTTCTCAATCTCTCCTTTTATCTTCCAAGCTGAGGTGTCTCTCCAGCACATATCAAAACCTCATTTGAGTCCATCGGACTCCTACACGAAGCCTACATCACTTGCAGTGCTGCTGCTGACTGACAAACACACACAAAGTACCCACACAGCACCTCCATCAAACTCCTCAAGTGCTGATGCTGGAGAATTAACACCACATGACTTCTGCAGCCTGTCGAAACTATCAATTTTAACTTAATTATAACTTGGCAGAAATGTAACTTTTAAAATCCTACTTAAGATGTAAAGGTTGATTGAGCGGAATATAATCTTCTGAAATATAGCACTGAATTGAAGGATTGTGTGGTAGGAAAAATATATTTTAACATTTTCCAAAGTAAACCAGCATTTGTTACATATTACATAGTTAACTGAAAGAATGTTGGGATATGGAACTGAAGATCTTGGTAGCTATATTGTTGGAAGTTAAGGCCATAACCTTGAAATACTGTCATGAACATTACAGAAAATATGTGAAAATCAAGAAACATAATACCCTTGCCAGTTCTACCACAGCTCAGTCCAGTTTACTGCCAGTTCCTGTCAGTCCATTAGACAGTATGTTCATTTTAACCACATTGTAATTTTTCAAAGGAACACACAATCTTTGTGATGCCAACCTGCCTTTATCATGTATATGGCTAACACCAGATTTGTTTGTTTTAGGTCCTGTCTTGTCAAGTTGAGCAATGGATGACAACACATGAACATGATGAATATCTACCGACCATACATCACTGACCTGGCGGCAGGCTACCATCAAAACAGACCATTGAGATATGGACATTTTCTGCCAATTAGCATGTCAATAGCATAAGCCACCTTAATTTCAATTCCAAATTTTATATTCAAGTGACACCATTTTGTAGACTTTTACAATCCATGTTCATATTTTGACAAACATAGTTAACTATTAAGGTAACTTTATCCTTAATAAACACATCATTTGTATGGAATCCTCTGTTAATGTTAAGTTACAAATTGTGTGTGTGTGTGTGTGTGTGTGTGTGTGTGCGTGCGTGCGTGCGTGCGCGTGCGTGCGTGCGTGCGTGCGTGCGCGCGTGCGTCGCGCGTCGCGTCGTGCGTGCGTGCGTGCGTGTGCGTGCGTGTGCGCAGTAATGCATATAACACATTGTGGAGAAGGTGTATGTCTTATGTAGAGTTACATGCAGTAGCTATTACTCTGGCAGGAGAATGTTGTATGTGAATGTACTGCTCATTTCTATACAATTACCTCATGACAAACGTCAAATCTGTGAGTGGAACATTTGTATCCTTTTGTGTGTCAGGGTGACACAGTATACAGTGCTCTGACTGCAGATCACTCACTGCTGGTGTGGCTCACTCACTGCCATGTTGCAATGTGAAAAACATACTGTCTCAATAGTGCATGGCTTCACGACAGGGAATGTACGTAAGGGCAGTCATATGCTGCTATTCCAGTGATGGACTCCAGGGACCACAAAGTCTCCCACAACACCAGCATGTGTACAAACAATAGAGTCATCAAAACAAAGTTCACCACATCTGCTTCCTATATACAACAGAGGAATCAATATGTGTACGTACCACTTGATCAGTGAGACACATAAATATTGTGTACAAAATGATAGCTTTATGTAGTCAAAATACAATCAATGTAGTTGTCCCATGACTGAAATAAGATAGATTTGGTAACATGTATCGAGTTGTCATGCTTCAAACTGAGAAGTGTTTGTGAGATTCTACTACCTGTACGACTCTTTCCTCTATTGCATGTGACGGTCTACGAGATCGGCTTAGCATAGGCTGTAAGTTGGCCATCTTGTATCCTCCTCTCCAGTAACAACAGTCCCTGCGGCACACAACGTCTGTCTGCTACACCTGAGAGAGGCAACACTGGCAGACTGGCTGGCTGGCGGACCGTCACACAGCTGGCTGGTAGAGGGAGACAGATGACTGGGACACTCACTCACTGGATGTGCGCAGCGAGACTGTGTCCAGGCAGGCAGTGTGGGAGATCACAGCTATACAGTGTGTACAAAGATAGGACTGACCTGGCTAATCTAGCCACGAGGTGAATTTCCTTCTTCAGGTAGAGAGATTAAACTCCACAACCACCTGCTGGTACACACCAGTCGTGTAGTGGCAGGCGCTGCCCGGGTTCAGATCCTGGCCCTCACTACAGCAACAGGTCTACAGGGAGGATGCCAGGCAAGTCTATCTATTCCCAGATTATACCAGCTTCACGGGATGTCCCAATGAATCAGCAGTTTACAGAACACAAGCTACCCAATCCAGCTTCTCCAGTATTCCTCTGTCAAGTGGAGTTGTACCTTCAAAAACTCTTCCGACAACTGAGATATTTTCAAATCCAGAGCAAGGTGAGATTGTCCAGTTTGCCTCTCTCTAAACTTGTGAAAAGGGCTTAGTTTATGATCATCTCCTTGAAGTTTACCTTTATTTACTTTCATACCTCTTATACACATAATTGTTGGGGATAAACATCACATATCATGCTGATCATTTTCAATTGGCAAATAAATGTTCAAAATAAAACTAAAGTAGGCTAGCATCGTAAATTGCTGGTACTAGAAAGTGGCAAGGTAGGATTGATTAATTTATGACTTATCACACCACAACACAGGCAAACATGTGGCTGCATAGACCCTGTACCTCCTCCAGCCACTCGGTCACATGATGGGGTAATGGTCCACACAATGCAGCTGCCTGGGAACCCCAAATATGGGACGGGGCTACGGAATGGCATTTTCATAAGTTTCATATCAGTTACATATGCATTGCCATAACAGTCTGGGGACTTGAAGGAGATGCCCATATGTGTAAAGTATGTGTACAACTTTCTACACCAGTGTGCAGGGTTAGATGCCATAGACACATGATGTCCATATGAGTTGACAACAGCCATTCATAAAGTATAAATTATGTCGGTGGGCAATTATCTTACGACAACAACAGTTTGTCCATAATCAAACTGAAGTGACAACAGCTTCACCATCACATCTCCATGTATACTCCATGGCCCCAGCTGTCTTACCCATGGCTACAGCTGTACTATCATATGTCTTCCTGTCTTACCCATGGCTACAGTTGTACTATCATATGTCTTCCTGTCTTACCCATGGCTACAGCTGTACTATCATATGTCTTCCTGTCTTACCTATGGCTACAGCTGTACTATCATGTCTTACTGTCTTACCCACGGCAACAGCTGTACTATCATATGTCTTCCTGTCTTACCTATGGCTACAGCTGTACTATCATATGTCTTCCTGTCTTACCCATGGCTACAGATGTACTATCATGTCTTACTGTCTTACCCATGGCAACAGCTGTACTATCATATGTCTTACCCATGGCTACAGCTGTACTATCATGTCTTACTGTCTTACCCATGGCAACAGCTGTACTATCATATGTCTTACCCATGGCTACAGCTGTACTATCATGTCTTACTGTCTTACCCATGGCAACAGCTGTACTATCATATGTCTTCCTGTCTTACCTATGGCTACAGCTGTACTATCATGTCTTACTGTCTTACCCATGGCAACAGCTGTACTATCATGTCTTACTGTCTTACCAATGGCTACAGCTGTACTATCATATGTCTTGTACTATCATATGTCTTACCCATGGCTAAAGCTGTACTATCATGTCTTACTGTCTTACCCATGGCTACAGCTGTACTATCATATGTCTTCCTGTCTTACCTATGGCTACAGATGTACTATCATATGTCTTCCTGTCTTACCCATGGCTACAGCTGTACTATCATGTCTTACTGTCTTACCCATGGCAACAGCTGTACTATCATATGTCTTACCCATGGCTACAGCTGTACTATCATGTCTTCCTGTCTTACCCATGGCTACAGCTGTACTATCATATGGCTTCCTGTCTTACCTATGCCTACAGCTTTACTATCAAATGTCTTGTACTATCATATGTCTTACCCATGGCTACAGCTGTACTATCATATGTCTTCCTGTCTTACCCATGGCTACAGCTGTACTATCATATGTCTTACCCATGGCTACAGCTGTACTATCATATGTCTTCCTGTCTTACCCATGGCTACAGCTGTACTATCATATGTCTTCCTGTCTTACCCATGGCAACAGCTGTACTATCATATGTCTTCCTGTCTTACCCATGGCTACAGCTGTACTTACCCATGGCTACAGCTGTACTATCATATATGTCTTCTTACTTACCATGGCTACAGCTGTACTATCATATGTCTTCCTGTCTTACCCATGGCTGCAGCTGTACTATCATATGTCTTCCTGTCTTACTCATGGCATGTACTATCATATGTCTTCCTGTCTTACCCATGGCTACAGCTGTACTATCATATGTCTTCCTGTCTTGCCCATGGCAACAGCTGTACTATCATATGTCTTCCTGTCTTACCCATGGCTACAACTGTACTATCATATGTCTTCCTGTCTTACCCATGGCTACAGCTGTACTATCATATCTTACCTATGGCTATAGCTGTACTATCATATGTCTTCCTGTCTTACCTATGGCTACAGCTGTACTATCATGTCTTACTGTCTTACCCACGGCAACAGCTGTACTATCATATGTCTTCCTGTCTTACCTATGGCTACAGCTGTACTATCATATGTCTTCCTGTCTTACCCATGGCTACAGCTGTACTATCATATGTCTTCCTGTCTTACCTATGGCAACAGCTGTACTATCATATGTCTTCCTGTCTTACCCATGGCTACAGCTGTACTATCATATGTCTTCCTGTCTTACCCATGGCTACAGCTGTACTATCATGTCTTACCTATGGCTATAGCTGTACTATCATATGTCTTACCCATGGCTACAGCTGTACTATCATATGTCTTCCTGTCTTACCCATGGCTACAGCTGTACTATCATATGTCTTCCTGTCTTACCCATGGCAACAGCTGTACTATCATATGTCTTACCCATGGCTACAGCTGTACTATCATATGTCTTCCTGTCTTACCCATGGCTACAGCTGTACTATCATATGTCTTCCAGTCTTACCTATGGCTATAGCTGTACTATCATATGTCTTCCTGTCTTACCCATGGCTACAGCTGTACTATCATGTCTTCCTGTCTTACCCATGGCAACAGCTGTACTATCATATGTCTTCCTGTCTTACCCATGGCAACAGCTGTACTATCATATGTCTTCCTGTCTTACCCATGGCAACAGCTGTACTATCATATGTCTCCATCCTGACTGTCATATTTACCAGTTAATAGTTGTGCCACTAAAGCTTGCCAACTAACTATTTAACGGAGACAAACCACCTTCTAAATGTTGGACAAAAAGAAAGTGATGTAAAGGATGTATCAAGTGTCATAACTATTCTTGTACAACCATGGGACTGTTTATCCAAGTTGATTGCTCACATTCAAATACGTATTTTGGAATGCTGATTGACTTGGCAAAACATTTGGTGTTCTGCTGATAATCATGACATCCTGCCTGTCTCTACCATTCAGTGTGGTCGCCAGTAGATTCTATCCTGATTTAGCCAAAGTCAGACAAAAAGAAATATTACAAAGCACTTATAAACTAAAATCAAATACCACACTGACAATTGACATTACTGACAGTGACTGGCGGGCACATATGCAATCTGTGTTGATGCATTACAAACAGAAGGGCCTGACCCTCGTGTGTTGCCAAAGACATATAGGCCTGATACATTCATGTTGCTGTATTGCTAGATACATAGGCCTGATACACACATGTTGCTGTGTTGTCACAGACACATAGGCCTGATACACACATGTTGCTGTGTTGCTAGATACAGCGGCCTGATAAACACATGTTGCTATATTGCCAGATACAGGGGCTTGATATACACATGTTACTATATTGCCAGATACAGGGGCTTGATACACTCATGTTGCTATATTGCCAGATACAGGGGCTTCATACACACATGTTGCTATATTGCCAGATACAGGGGCTTCATACACACATGTTGCTATATTGCCAGATACAGGGGCTTGATACACACATGTGGTGTGTTGCCACAGATACAAGGACCTTATACCTATATGTTGCTGGGCTGCACTGACAGACATGATCTGACACCTGTGTGTAGCTGTACTGTCCCTATATTGTCCACCTCCAGATAGAATCTGGTAGAGCCACAGGGGTTTATCTTGCCCTACAAGACTCGGTCTCCACAGGACCCCACGAATACTCAAATCAAGGGTCCTTACAGGAAACTGGGGAAATCTGACAGTGCTGTAAAGTTAAATAGCACCCAGTACATTACTGTAAGATGTAATAATGTTTATGACACATACTTTATAATTATTGTCAAGAATTTCACACATTAAATATTGTTTGTGTCCCTTTGTAAGCAACATCTATCTTTACATTCATTCCATGTATTTGTTCTCACTGGACCTACAGACGTCTACATATACTGTATAGTGCAGATGGTGTGTCTGTATCTCATACAGCTGTTGCCAGCATCAGTGGCGCCAGTAGATGGTCCTGTCAACTGACAAGAAAATAGAAGCAGGTTGCAAGCAGTCAAGCATAACCATGCACCATCCAGGTGTTACTGTTACAGAAAGTTTTCAAGAAAATCATCCCTTGTTCAGTTCCCATTTAGGTGTTTTTTTCGACAATCTGATCTGGGTAACAATTACTTTGACAAGCCATGAGGAGTTACACTTGGACCAGACACACCACTGATAACTCACGTGATGGCCAGCCTGCTGTCTATTATAATGAGGTGTTTACATCTGACTAGAGCTGTGTATCGTGGCCTAAGTGGCGAGACGATATATCTCGATACCATTTTGGATACAATGGTGGAGATACGATACGTATCCCGATACTTTACAGTTTCTAGTAACAGAACAGATATGGCAGATAAAACGACTGAAACTTTATTTGTTATACATCAGACTGACTGACAGAGTTTGGTTTTACGACGCTTTTAGCAATATTCCAGCAATATCAGGGCGGGGGACACCAGAAATGGGCTTCACTCATAGTACCCATGTGGGGATTCGAACCCGGGTCTTCGGCGTGACAAGCCAACGCTTTAATCACTAGACTACCTCACCGCCCCGTTATACATCAGAACTTGTGTTACATTCACACACACTTAAAAACCTGTACATCTAATAAAGATTTAGCATTTAATACTTAAGAAAGTACAGTCACACATATTCAGTATACCCTGATCTAATATATATAAATTTGAAGCTGAAATTTCCCTTTGGAAATTGTGTTTCCACACCCATGCTTTCACAAACAACTCACTGTAATTTATATCAGAATTCAGAATCACTGAAAAAAACTCTTTATCTTCTCTTTGTTCTCTTTCTCACCA